TCCTTAACTGTTTTCTAAAAGGATTTACTAAATGATCGTCAACAATATCGATAACACAATTAACCAGTTCCTTAGCATGATGATTCTCTTCAAAAAGCTCTTTCTTAGGAACCATGTTTTTTTTTTTCTTAATCTAAAAACAGTACAAAAAGCCACAAAGACTAAGAAAATTATAGCAAAACACTTGGAACACAGTCGCAAAAGGTTTAAACAGCGCGTACTGACAACGCCAACTAACACGGAGTGATGGAATCACGAACTGCTTTTGTTTACAGAAATCACGTGTGTCGGTGGGATTCCGATGTTTTGTTTGAGCTCCGATGCAAAGTTTTCTCGACATTTCGCATAGAAATCCAATTATACAGAGTAGAGATGAGGTCGAGTACCGGGGTTCTCCTGTACATTAAAAAGAGTTGCACAATCATCCCCACACTCGGTTTTAGATCCTTTTTTAAATTCTTGTTATGCTAGTCCAGGTTGACTAGAGAAACAAATCCAGAGATACTCATATGCATATAAGAAAGAGCTTTATATAAAGAGCAATTGTCTATTGCGAAAACAGCCCAGCCCAGCCCAGATCAAGTCCATAAGTCTGATATTAGCCCATTATGTCTGATACTAGTCCATAAATTCCTCTTCAGATTCACGCAGCACATGCAATGCAGGAAGATCACAGACCAGTGGGTGGAAAGTCTTGTGGATCCAGTGGCGGTGGAAGCATCTCAGTGCTGGTGTGGGTCTCCAGGTGGCTCCTCCCGCACCAGGGCTCTGGCTCCATCAGTGTAGCTCCTCTGGCTTGTCAGCAAGAATATCTCACAGCAAGTGTGTGTCCCACCTCCAGGGAGGAAGACAGGAGTTCCCAGAATCCTCAGGAGAAGGCCATGCCCACACAGAGGCCTCAATGGCTATGGCCTGATTGATAGGCTAGGCTCCACCCCTTAGCAAGTTGACAGATTTTGCAACTGTCACACTTGTATCCATGATTATTTGCTGTTCTTGTTGTTAGGTGTCCTCGAGTTGGTTCTGAAGCACAGCAACCCTGTGCACAACAGAACGACACACCCTTCCATCCTAGGTTTGAACCCATTGCTGTAGCCGGTACTGTGGTCATCCAGACCGCGTCATCCAGACCGCCAAGTCTTCCTGCTTTTCATCACCCTCCGCTCTACCAAGCATGCTGTCCTCCTGCGGGACATTCTCCCCTGACCACATGTCCAACGCACGTCAGATGAAGTCTTGCCGTCCTTGCCTCTAAGGAGCGCTCTGGCTGTACTTCTTCCACGACAGACCTGTTTGTCTTCTTCGGCAGTCCACGGTACCTTCAAGATACTTTGCCAACAATATTCTCCGTTCAAAGGCATCGATTTTCTTCAGCCTTTCTGCTTCAGTGTCCAACTTCCACGTGCGCGTGAGGCGATTGAAAACACTCGGGCTCGGATCAGGTGCAGCTTAGTCCTCTAAGTAAATCCCGTGCTTTCAGCACTTGACAGAGGCCGTAGCGGCAGATTTATCCAGAGCGGTCTGTCCTTTAATCTCTTGACTGCGGCTTCCGTGAGCTTTGAGGGTAGATCCAAGCAAGATGAAATCTTGGGCAACTTCACTCTTCTCTGTGTGGATCATGTTGTCCCCTATAGGCTTGGTTATGAGAATATTTGCTTTCTTTACGTTGAGAGGTACTCCATATGGAAGGCTGCATGCAATTCTTGATCTTCATCAGCCAGTACTCTTCCAACAAGTCAAGTTGTGTCATGTGCATCTTACAGGTTGTTAATAAGCCTTCCTCCAATCCTGAGACCACGTTCTTCTTTATGTAATCTGCTGCCTCTGATTATTTGCTCAGCATACGGACTGAATAAGTATGATGAGAGGATACAGCATTCTTATTAGCTCCCCACCCCCACCCCAACTTTCCCTGTCATAATGCTAAGAAGCTGTTAATCTAGTAACTGTCTATAGCTTTACCTACCCTGAATGTCATATGGAGTCCCAATGGCTTAGTGGTTGCTCTTTGGCCTCTAACCCCAAGGTTGGCAGTTTGAAACTCCCAGTCACTCCATGGGAGAAAGAGGAGGTTTTCTACTCCTGTAAAGAGTTAAGTCTCAGAAACCCACAGGGGCGGTTCTGCCCTGTCCTGTAGGGCTGATGTGAGTCAGAATTGACCCCATGACAGTGAGTTTAGAGTTTTGGTCATCACAGTAAACAAAGAGCAAATCCCCAACAACTACAAAATAGAGCACCGGAAAGCTTCAAAAGAAAGCAGAACCAGTTCACTGGCTTGGAGCTAGTTTGCCACGAGATGGCCAAACGCACATGAGGTCGGGATCGTGGGCAAGTACGGGACCCATTACGGTGCTTCCCTCAGGAAAATGGTGACGAAAATTGACGTCAGCCAACATGCCGGGTACACTTGCGCCTGCGGCAAAACCGAGGTGAAGAGAGGCGCTGTGGGCCTCTGCACTGCGGTCCCTGCATGAGGACAGCAGCTGGTGGCGCCTGGGCCCACAACACCCCCTCTGCTGTCCCAGCCAAGTCCACCACCAGAAGACTGCAGGGATGGAAAGACCAGGAGAAGCCCTACTACCTGAAACCTCTCTGGTCTGTAATAAATGGGTTAATTTATGTTAAAAAAAAAAAAAAGAAAGAAGCAGAAACACATTAAAACCAGAACAAGTTATAAACCAAAAGGGAAAAGAAACGGTAAGATGTTAGATGTTAACCTGACTATATCTGTTGTAATCCACTTTCTAATGCACTTTGTCTCAAAGCCAAGCTCTTCACATCCAGTCAATCGTCTGAAGGAATTCAGTGGAGGTTTAATCTCCCCATGGGGACTCTGCAAATGGATTTTGGGCTTTCACTGTCATCCATAGCCTTCTGCAAACCGAGTGCTCAAACGTTAAGCTCTAATACAACTCCCTCCTCTGGCCTTGGGTTTTATTATTTACACGTTTTGGATGTGTTCTGGTCCATCCTAAAATCTTAGGTTGAACTGGCTATCTTTTCAAATTGGAACGCCTGGTTCTGTCCGGCGGCACAGAGAGCACCTTTGCGCTTTGTGAGCTTGCCAAAGAGCAAGGATTCCAGTGGCGGGAGCCCAGTGAGTGAGGGGAAGACAGTGCGCTGAGAGCCGGGGTCGCTGGGTGATGGGGCAGAAAGCTGTGGGGATTCAATTGCTCACGGACGCCCTCCAGCTGCAGGAAAGGGAACGTCATGGGGCGGGGGATGAGGGCTGGAGAGCCCGGGGAGGAGGGACTCCCGTGGGGCCAGGTGGGAGAGGATGGGCCAAGAAGGCCTTCCAGCTATCCAGAGCAGAGGCTGGCACCTGGGGCCCTGGAGACCCTCCGCTTAGAGTCCAGGTCCTGTTGGTAGCAGCCCAGGGCTGAGACTGGGGGCCCAGGGGTACGGGTGCCAGGCCTGTGCCTGTGCCTGTGCCTGTGAGCAGCCAGGCGCCACTGAGCAGGCTTAGGAGAGTGATAAGATGACCCACGAGCAGCTGCAGCTGCTTGTCCATCTGTCTGTCTGTCAGTCTAGAGCTAGGTTCAGGGTCCAGGCTGTGGGACCAGCATGGGACGAAGGGTAGTGGAGAACCGTAGGGATTCATAGCTGAGTCGGCTCGGACTTGCTGTCCTATTCGAAGTGGTGTTGGTCAGAGAAAACCCATGCAGGATGCTCCAAATTTAGGAACCTGAACAAGCCCACACCTGGCAGGGCGGACTGGGTCCGGGAAGACACCAGCGGGCAGGTTGGGGAATCATCTGCGCCTCGCGTGGGGCGGGGCTGAGAGGGAGGCGCCCAGGTGCCGCGGGGTCCGGGTCAGACGTCAGGACGGCAGGTGTTCTGGGTGCGGGCGCCGCGCAGTTCCGAGAGCCGCCGCCAGAGGGAGAGCGCGCCCCGTCGCGCTCCAGGGAGCCCAGCGCGGGAACGCGCCGACCCGCTGCTTCTCACAGCAGCTTTGCACTTGGGTGTGAGATGCGGGACACCGAGGTGCCAGGTCTTGGTCCAGACCACCTTCCCCTAGGCGCCTCCAGGGGTTCAAAGCCTGGAACTCGGCTGCCAGTTCTTTAACCTCCAGCCCCAACCCACACTCCCAGGTTCCCACCACCTCCACCTCGATCTCAGGTCTCTGCAAAAATGTCACCTCTGGGGAGAGGCCTTCCTTGACCACCTGTGGGTGAAGGACTCCGTTGATCCCTCTGAGGCACACTCCGATTTAGTCTCCTTTCACCCTGAAGACTCAGAACTCGCCCTGGTCACGCTTTACTCTCTGCTTCCTCCCCTGTGATGCTGGAGGGCCAGTTTGCGGTCCCTCTGCTAAAGTCAGCAGTTCGAAACCACCAGCTGCTCCCAGGGAGAAAGACCAGGCTCTCTACTCCTATAAAGAGTTACAGTATCAGAAAAAGTCAACCAGCAACAATGAGTTAACTAGAGCTGCCTCCGAGTGCTTACAAAGTATCAACCTCTGTTTTAAGCTCCTTCCCCCCCACCCTTTTTTTTGGTTTGGTTTGTATAGAAGCTATTGCATTCTCAGAACAACCCTGAGGTAGGTCCTGCTATTATCCTCCCTCAGAGAGAGGCCCAGAGTGGTTAAGGAACTCTCCCCATGTTACACAGCCAGGAGTTGCAATGCTGGGATTTTAACCCCCAAAGCCTAGGTTTTTTGCTAAATGGATGACTGAGGGCCTAGGACCAGGCAAAGCAGCCCTTCAGAGGCCGGAGCACCCTGTCCCTAGACCTGCCATTCCTGCTCCCTATAGCCCACACCCTCTCAAGTCCCAGCCCCCAGCACCATCCCAGACTGGGGGGTAGGGGGCGGGGCGGGAACCCAGCAGGGCTGGGTTTGCATTCCTCCCCCATGGTGGGTTCCCAGGGGCCCTGCCCAGACTGCTCAGGTGGGGGGCAAGGGTAGGAAAGGGCTGGTGTGCCCACAGTCAGTCCAGTCATCAGACAGCAGGAGCCACTGCCAGGACCCTGAGCCTAGCTCTAAACAGACAGACAGACAGATGGACAAGCAGCTGCTCGTGGGTTATCTCATCACTCTCCTAAGCCTGCTCAGTGGCGCCTGGCTGCCCACAGGCACAGGCACAGGCCTGGCACCCGTACCCCTGGGCCCCCAGTCTCAGCCCTGGGCTGCTACCAACAAGACTTGGACTCTAAGCCGAGGGTCCCCAGGCCCCCAGGTGCCAGCCTCTGCCCTGGATAGCTGGAAGGCCTTCTTGGGCCTGCAGAAAACCAGGAGGCAGAGTGGGCAGGAGGTGGTCACTGCCACCACTATGTCCCTACCACTGGACCCGCAGGAAGTGGCCCAGGAATCTTGCAAAGCCAGGCCCTTCACTCAGGTAAGCCGGCGGGGGAGGGAGGGATGGAGGGGCCGTCTCCGCACACCAGCTCTGGGCAGGCGCTTAGTCCACGTTCTGTTTCTTCCGATCAGATGGTTGTGAGCCTCCGTGTCCTCCTTCACAAAAATGGATTTTAAAAAATCATTAAATCATTTTATTGGGGGCTCCTACAACTCTTATCAAAATCCATCCATCCATCCATTGTGTCAAGCACATTTGTACATGTGTTGCCATCATCATTCTCAAAACATTTGCTTTGTACTTGAGCCTTTGGCATCAGTTCCTCATTTTTCCCCCTTAAAAGTGGATTTTACAAATCTCTCTAGGTTTCTGCTCTTGGCAAAACCTCCGGGCTGTTTCCTATGGATCCGCCAGAGGGCGCCGGTGAGCCCACTCCTCCACCCAGAACCCTTCAGGGCTTCTGCCTCTGAGAGCCAGGGCCCAAGGTCCCCCACTTGTCCCTTGAGGACCTGAACACCCTGCCTGCCTCCGTTTTCACCCTCACTTCTCTCCAGCACCACGGCCTGCTCCCCGCCCCTGGGATGCACCATGTTCCCTCTTCCCTTTGCGCTGGCTGCGCTCCTGGGCTCCTTACAGCCTCTCCCTCGGGTTTTCTTCAAACACCATTTGTTTTTATTTGGAGAAGAGTTCCGTATTTATTTAAACCATTTTATGGGCACTCTATCCACATGTCACACAACACACCCATCTCAAGATCCACTCTAGAACGTGCTGAACACCGTAGGACTCCCGCCACCCCCACCCCCGCCTCCCACCTTCCTCCGGTCTGTTTTATCTTCGCTAGGCGGGAGGTAGTTGGTTATGAAACTTACTCAAGAAATGGTCTTTTTCCTCTGTCTCTCTCAAGGTCGCGTCTACGTATTCCTCCAGGGCAGGGACCTTTTAATTTATTTTGTACAATCTGTCTTGCCCTCTGCTGGGCCCCGTCACCAGGTTCTAGAACAGACAGGCCCTGCCGGCTCACTAAGGGTTGGATGAATGGGTGGTGGTCCTGCCTGGCTCCTTAAGAGTGCTTTAGCAGCCGCCAGCAAGACCAGTCTGTGGGTCAGTGGGCTTGTGGGAATCTTACGTGGTGCCCCGGGGAAGCACAACTCCAAACTCAAACTCACCGCCAAGGAGGACAGGGGAGAATCGTCCCTGTGGGGTTCCCAGACTGTCACTCAAGGGGAGTGGAAAGCTTCGTCTGTCTTCCAAGGAGCAGCGGGTGTTTTCAAACCGCCGACCTCCTGGTTAGCAGCCCAACCCGTAACCACCATGCCACCAGGGCTCCTTGGTTAAGTGCACCTGGGTTCAAATTCGGCCAGATTTCTGGGTGATCCAGGATAACGAGCTTCTCTTCTCAGAGCCCCAGTTCCCGCCCCAGGGGAGATGGATTGACCTGCACGCCAAGGATTTGCTGGCAGGGGCTGAGGGTTTGCTCACCAAGTCTTTGCCAAGAAACTAGGTGATGTAGCTAGTGTGAAGCTAGGTGATGCAGCTGACAAACCAGGTGATACAGCTGCCTCTGCCCCAATCCTGCAGCTGCCCTCCATGCACCAGCAGGAGGGACCCGGGCCCAGGTTCCAGCTGGGCACCTTCACCTGGAGCAGAGGCCACCCCCCTCCCCACCCCTCCGGGGCACGTCTCAGTCAGCTGTCTCTGAAATTAACCTTCAGAGAGGAAGCCAATGGAGTTAAGCTTTTCACAGTGGAGAAGTTCAGGGGGCTGAGGTCGGGCCTCCAGGGGCGGCGTTCTCTCTCCATCAGCTCTGGGGAAGGTCCTGTCCCTTTTCGGTGTCTGTTCCTCCAGCGTTTTCCCACTTCCACTGTGGCTGGCTGGCTCTTAAGGAGCTTGATTTAAAACTCGCCCTGTACTAATCCGGTCTCATGAGCGTAACAAAGAAAACGCAGACCACTATGTACCTCTCTGCCATCTAGGCATTTGGACTCCGTGGGTTCCCAAGGTGGAATCTTCACGGGAGTAGAAAGCCTCATCTTGCTCCTGGAGAGCAGCTGGTGGTTTTGAACTGCTGACCTTCAGGTTAGCAGCCCAATGCAGAACCCCTACACCACCAACGTTCTCCGTAACTACTATCGGAGTTAAGATTTCCAACCCATTTGGGGGGACAATCTAGCCAGCACGCTCACTGCCACCGAGGTAATGCCAACTCACAGCGACCCTCTAAGGACAGGGTAGAACTGCCCTGTGGGTTTCTGAGACTATCCCTCTTTACGGGAGTAGAAAGTCCCGTCTTTCTCCCGAAGGGAGGCTGGTGGTTTCAAACTGCTGCCCTTGCAGGTAACAGCCCAACGCATAACCACTACGCCACCAGGGCTCGCAGCACCCTCAGCCCTCGTGGGCCTTTAGTGTCTTCACCTGTAAAAAGAACAGCAGTACTGGCCTCACGGTGAGCCAGGTGCTTAGCGCAGGGCCTGGCGTGGCACGAGAGTTTAAGCCCTGCTGGGCCTCTGGCTGTGCCATGGGCAGTTGGAAGCCACTGGCTGCTCTGGAGAGAGAAGATGAGGGTTTCCATTCTGACAGTCCCAGTCTTGGAAACCATGGGGGGTGGTTCTACCCTGTGAGTCAGTTTTGGCTTGATGGCGGGGAGTTTAGTTTGGGGTCTTATTAAACACGGGAAGAGGACCCCAGGCTTGTTAAAGCAGGAGGTCAGGAAGAAAGAGGAAAGGTTTTGGCGAGATGGATGCGCTCCGTGGGAACCGCAGTGTTACCTTCTGTCCTGCATGACGGGCTGCTCTGAACGGGAGCGGACTTGGTGGGCGGAGTAAGAATGACCGGGGTCAGAGCCATAGAGGAGAGAGACCTGGAACCAGCCCACAGGTAGCTTCGGTGCTCTAGGCTAGGCACAAACAAACAACACACCTCGCTGCCATGGAGGGGACCTGCCCCTGTGGGATGCCAAGACGGTGTGCGACCCTTTAAGGGAACAGAAAACCTTCTCTTTCTTCCGGGGAGTGGCTGATGGCTCCCCATTGCTCACCTTGTGGTGAGCAGCCCAGGGGTACACCTACGACCCCCGGGGGGCTCGGGGAGAGAAAAACAACCGAGCAGCAGCCGCCTGCCCCCAAGGGCCATGTTATCAGCTTCCAGGAGCACCAGGGGAGAAGAGAGGTGGCTGCTGGGTGGGCCACCCTTGGGGGACGCCATCCCCCTCAGCCACGCCCTGGAGGGAGGAAAGATGAGCCATGTGGAGAGGGAGGGAGGCTGGAGGGAAGTCCAGTCCATGTGGGGGGCACCAGGGGGTGGGGGTGGGCGTGAGGTCTCTCAGGGAGCTTTGAAAGGGGTACCAGCATTAGAAGGAGATCTTCCAGAGGTAGAGCGAGCGAAGGGGTGCGTGAGAAAGGAGAGGGCACGAGGGTGATGGGGACAGAGTGTGCAGGGACTTGACCCTAAGATGGAAGGTGATGGTGGAGTGTAGGGCATAAGCAGACCCTGGGGGGTGGGGGGAGAGGGCGGGAGGTTGATAGATCCACTGAGATGGTGGCAGTCACAGGAGAAAATCAGGCATATTGATTACCGACTGTGTGCCAGACAGGCTGTGGGCTTTCTGGTGAGTGCTTTCGGCCTCCGCCAATATCACCTTCAGGGGTGGGGTGGTGCAGTGATTGGCTGTTGGTTCTAATTCCAGAATTTTGCCTCGTCATCTCCGGCTTGGCTTTTCGGTCCCTGTCCCCTGGATAACCACATCCCTGCATTAACTCCTCACTGTAGAAAGAGCTGGAGGGCTTTGCTTTGTTTTTCCTGTTCGAACCTCAGTGGTTTGTTTGTTTTTGCAAGGGAGGACACCGGAGCCCTGGGAGGGTGAGTCTCTCACTCCGTGTCAGCAATGGACACGAGGCAGCCTGCCCTCAAGTCTGGTGGGAGGGAGGAGCAGGCCCCTGCCCTGACTTGTTTCTCTGTCTCTGACCCCAGGTGCTCTCCCGTCCCGGCTGCACAGCTGTTCGTCTCCGCAACAACCTCTGCTTTGGCCGCTGCCCCTCCCTCTACGTCCCCAGCTCGGACCCCTCCCCCGTCGTCCACTGCAGCAGCTGTGCGCCCACTCGGAAGCGCTGGACGTCTGTGGTTCTGTGGTGTTGGGTGGGCCGCCCCGCCGCCCGGCAGCGGCGGCAGAGGAGGATGTCCACTGTGTTAGTCGAGGCGTGTCAGTGCAGCTCCAGGCAGGGAGCCGAGCCCCGCAGATGGACGCAGACACGCTGGGAAGAGGGACAAGCAGCAAGAGCCTTCCCCTGGACAGTGTCCCCTAGATCAAGAGGACAGTGACTCGGGCGGCAGGCCGGCCCAGCCCTCCCCTGCTCCCCAGAACTCCCGACACAGATCTCACCTTGGGGTGGGACACGAATAGTATAAACCCCCATCCCACTGCCCTTGAGTTGATTCCGAGACCCTATAGGACAGGGGAGCACTGCCCATTGGGGTTCTGAGAAGGAAATCCTTTGGGGAGCAGGCTGCCACAGCTTTCTGCCACGGAGCTGCCTGGGGATTTGAACCGTCCACCTTTTAGCTGGCAGTGGTGTGATCTGTGCTGCTTCACCTCCTTACGGTGTGTGTCCATTCCAACTCATGGCTACCCAGTAGGACAAAGCAGAACTGCTCCCTGGGGTTATCTGAGGCCGTATGTCTTTATTATTATTATTTGTACTGGAGCCTCGTTGTTCTCCCCAGGGGTGGGTGTGAACCTCCAACCTTGCAGTTCGTAGCAGCTCAGTGCCTGACTCACAGAGCTCTCCGGCTCCTGACCTCAGCACAGCGCTCCCTTCCTGAGTCCTCAGGCCCCACAGGTCTGCACGCAGCCTTCCCCAGGGCACCGACTCCTGGGACCCCTCAGGAATGGGGTTACTTTCAGCCTGGGTGGAAGGTGAAGATGAGGAAACCAGCTTCCCAAAGGGAACCGCCTTCCCTTGGGGTCACACCGACGAGAGGGCAGAGCTGGGGTTTGACCCTAGGCAGCCTGGTGCCCTATTTAGAACCACTAGGCTGCACTGTCTCGCACAGACCAAGTGAAAGACCCACTCTCTCCCAGATGCAGGGAGGACAGAAAGGCCCCCCCCCCCCCCAATGATGAGGCAGGCAGGCAGCTGCTGGGGAACTGATATCAACATCAAGGCAGGACCCAGAGGCTCCCAGCTGCCTGTCCCTGATGATCCCTGCCCTGCCCCCTGCTTGGATGTCCACACAGGAACCATAAAGGCTGCCTGCGGAGCCCAGCGGTGTGTGCGTGTGCTGTCTGTCCCTGCACTGGGCTCCCCGGAGTGGGCGGGGGTGGGGGTGGCGAGTGGCCTGGGCAGCGCGGGCATGGAGGGGCACAGGGTCTGTGGTTGGCGGCTGGAACCAGAGCCTCAGCAGATGGGCCCGTCTGGCACAGAGGCAGGGACATGTGGCGCTGTCAGGGTTCCCTCCAAATGCCCCCCGGAGCGCGGGGCGAGGAGGGGGTGGTGGCAGCAGCGGCTGGCTGGGTCCCCTCAGCCCTCTTCCTGCCTCAGGAAGGAAGGCCCCAGGTGAAGGGAGCAGGAGGGAGGAACTGGGGGAAACAGATGGGGGAGTGGGGCGTGAGAACCTGTGACCTCTGACCCAGCAGGCCAGTGTGGAGGGATGGGAACTGGCCAGGCAGGCTGCTCCCAAGGCGCTGCTGGAAGAGCCCTGGGGGGAGACCCAGGGCGCCTGTAGGGGAGGCGCCCCTTCTCCAGGGACCTGTGCCAAACCCAAGGCTTCATCCATTCGTCCATCCCTCTGTCCCAGTGAGCAAGGGAGCCAGCGAGCTGAGGCTCAGCCCTGGCACTGCGGTCACCCCTCTCTCTGGCCGACATGAGGTGCTTGCCCCCCTCAGCTGTGCCCACCTCCTGCCAGCTGGGGGAGCCAGCTGGGAACCCTGGTGCCAGGGGGCCCCCTGGAGTTCCTGCCCCCTCCCGAGCAGTGCCAGCCAGCCCCCACCCTCCCCGCCCCCCAGGCTCAGTAATGGGTGGGTAATGAGTGGTGGGGGAGCGGGGGAGGGGCTGGGATGCAGGTGCCACAGGCGCTGGCACAGGGGCTGCTAATCAGGTTTGCCAACGCCATCTGTCACTTCGCGAGCATCTGGGGCTCAAGGTGACCCTGTCACCCTCAGTTACAATTATGAGTTTGGCATCTGTATTAAAGCCCGCCAGCCGGCGGGGCGGAGGAGAGTGGGGAGGGGGGCAGACTGGGGGGTGCCGTAAGCCCCTTCCCGGGAGTCCTGTTCCCAGGGGCTGCGTGGCTTCCAAGGCTGTGTGGTTTCTCGGTGCTCGGAGGAGTGTGTGTGTGTGTGTGCGTGTGTGCGAGCACCCACTCACGCCTGTGTCCACACGCCTGCGATTGTGGGATTGTGTGTCCCTGGGTGGTGACTGCGTGACCGCGAGTTTGGGTGGGGATGGCCAGGTGGATGCAGACCTGAGTATGTCTGTGTGCAGAAAGATGATTGGCCGGTGGTTCCCGTGTCTTTGGGTCAGGGTAGAAGAGCGTGTGTGTGTGTGTGTGTGTGTGTGTTTCATGGGTTGTGGGGATGTGAAAAGAAGAATTAGGCCACCAGTGCCTGCAAGCCCATGTGATATTGTTACTTCTGACGGTCACAGGCTGGATGTCTGGGGTGAGTCTGTGCAGGATTTTGTTGGACTTCCTCTTGTTGATAGGGGGGCCTACATGCATGCACGCCTGTGCACGTGTGTCTGTGTGAACACACAGGGGCACACAGCTGGGGGAGGGCTCTTGGGACTCCTCTTCAGCCCCTTGGCTTTGCCCCTGCCCCCACCCACCCAGAGCCTAGTCTGGAGGACTCAGACGTGTGGGACTGGGGTTTGGGGAACTGGGTCCTAGAGTCTTAGATTCGCATTTCTAGGCCCGAGTTTCCCCACCCCCACCCCACTGGAGGTGGGTTCTTGAATCTGAGTTCTAGATTCTGGATTCGCTTCTACCGATGTTTGGATTCTAGATTGTGGGGGCCTGTGATCCGGATTCAGGCATCTGGGCTTTGGGGATCTGGATCCTGTACCTTTAGAGTGCACTGATTTATAGTGACTCCTCTATTTTATGTAGTGGCTCCTCATTCACTTTCTCGTGGCGCTTGTGAATTTGGTGGGGGTTGGAAGCACCATCTTTAGACCCAGAGTTTTATATTCTGAGCTAGGGGAGTTGGGTTTTTGAATTGGGGCTTTGAGGGTCTAGAGTCTAGGTTATTGGAGGTGGGTTTCAGATTCTCCATTCTCGGTCAGGCTTCTGGATCCTGGATCTAGAAGACACTCAGCTGTGGGCCAGAGCCAACCCATCCATCTAGCATAGATGGATGCAGAGACCAGTCATGGCCACCAGGGGCCACCCTTGATCCAGGTATGGGCCGAGCTGACCCAGGCACGGGGGAGTTGGAGACTGCCCTGGCTTGACCTGATGGAGTTCCTTGTGCAGTTTGGGAGTGGGGCTTAGCTCTCTGCTGACTCCTAGCTTCACAGGTGA